CCCCAAAACCCCAAAACCCCAAAACCCCAAAACCCCTAAATCTTGATGACTTATTGAAGGAAGAAATTTTTCATCAGTATTGGTCACCAAATAACTAATTCTGTTTATGTAGAAGTATTAAGGCTTCAATAACTATTTTAAGATAAACTAGAAATGATAGATCAAAGAATATCAAAATGGACAGCTTAAAAATAAAGAGGGTAGGCTTTGAACTAAATAATTAGAAATATTAAAAAGCATACAATTTCCGAATAGCTAAGATCAATTTTGGCTAAATCCCATCAAAAGATTATGGTTATGGCTCATTCTGAGGGGGAAGAGCAACTACATGTCCTCTTACAATCCCTCCAACAAGGTTGGGAGCTTGAGGGTGCACTTGGTATTGAGGCATTTGTTGCATGTTGACTTGATTTACTGATGGTAAACCCTGAATGATTTCAAGTTCTTTTGCACTGTAGTGGAATTTGTAAAGTCCACCCAAGATGCATGCCGAACACATAGTTGTGCAACAACAAGCTATAGAAAATGCCATGATCACACCCATAAAGATAACCTTTGAGATATCTTCCATCTCTCTCATATCATCATTTTGATGACTTTCATGGTTTGCTCCATGCTTCCTAAATCTGAATTCGTGGCCACTCTTCTGATGTGTTAATCTATATTCTCCTGGTGATCTTCTTTCATCTCTGACCCTAAACAATTAGGCATGCTAGAAGTTGATGTACTTACCAGTCATCAAATGCCATTCCGAAGCCAATGAAGATGGCAAGGTAAGCTAAGACCAAGCATATGAACTTGCCGATTATGATCAGAAGAGTATTCTTCCAGAGTTTCCATGTTGAGGATCTTGTTGGAGCTTCTGCTGTTTTAATGAACAGATATCCCATTAAAATAAGCAAGCATCCTGAAACAAATTCAAGGAAACTAGCAATGGCTAGAGGAGCTGCAGGGATTTCAATTTCGTTGTTTTCCATCCTTGAGTCATCGAACTCAATGTCCACTTCATCAGCTTCAAGGAATTTTATGGCATTAGATAAAGCTCTGAGTCCACCAAAGATTATGAAGATCCATCCAAAAAGTTTGATGTACCAGGAGTACTTGTGGACTTTGGACTGGGTTTGGACCATTTTATATCCTGGTCCATGAAGAATACCAACAGGTTGTTGGTAGTTTATACTCACTGGTGGGTTGGAAGGGCCAAAGTGACTATCATTAGGATCTCCTATACCTTATTAGGCTTTGTTTATTGAAGGTAAACAATTATCTCTGAAAAATGGAATAAAACTGGTCAACTTGTATTATACTTGATGACCATCAAAGCATCATACGAAGCAGACCAAAAGAGAGATTTAATGCCAACTTACCTCTAGTGGGAACTTGGCTGTAAGTATTCATTTTTCAAAATATTATATTTTCAAGATTTGCCCTCATTTAGGGGTTTTGGGGTTTTGGGGTTTTGGGGTTTTGGGG